CCCCTCAATGTGATACCTGAAGCTGCCTTATACTGAATCAGATCACAGGCTCATCAATACAAGACTCGCCCCGTCTGAATGGCAGCCACCCTGCATCCCCCGGCAAAGGCCTACCAGCCCATCTGTGTCCCGGGGGAGGTTGGGGAAGGAACTGGGGCCCTCTGAGTGGTGAGTGGATGCCCCACCAAGAGCCAGAGCCCTTCCCCCTGAGTCAGCCCCCCACCCTCTGGGGACTCCCTAAAAAGAGCTAAAGCCTGGGGTGGTGGTTGGGCGACCAAAAACCTCACAACCCAACAAGCGCTCACCTGGGAAGGGGGGAGGGGGTATGCCCAATGCGCAGCCTCCTGCACAATCACTCGGTGACCCACACGGCACAGTGGATGACACAAGGCCACTAACACCGGCCAGCATCCCAGGTGGCCCATGCCGGTCCTGTGGCGCAGGGCTGGGAGCCATGCCCACACCACCCTAAAGAGCGAAAGGCTTGGGGGGGGGGAGTCAGGCAGGCAGCAGGCCCACTGACTGACACACACATTTATTGGGTTCTGCTGGGCACTAGTATATTGCACTGGTTCTGCTGGGCTTGCAACCATCCCCCCTTGCTTGGACTAGACATTTGTCCTGTTGAGCTATCATTGAGCTACAATGGCACTGGAGTCTTCTGGGCACTCTTTGATTGCACTGGTACTGCTGGACACTCTGTACATTGCATTGTTTCTGCTGGGCTTGTTTCTACAACAGAGATTATCTGGTTTGATCTTAGCCCTGTTAGGTATGCACTGCCACGGTGGCACTGGTTCTGCTTATTCTGGCTTTCAAGTTGACTAATTACATCATTGTCCCTGTGTCTCCATTCCCTGTGCCATAGTCTGGAGAAATCTTTGTGGCTGCATTGCTTTGCAAGGTTTGCTTTCAACATATAGGTCTCAAGAGTATACAAATCCTGATTCACAAATCCAGTTGCTACTAATTCTCTCTGTCTGATAAAACATTGCTTTCAAAAAGATGCTATCACTCCTTGCTTTGCCAGTGTTCTTACAGAGATAAGATTATTTTCTAGTTTTGGAATGTAAAGACAGTTGGTAGTGAGGACCTCTTGGGTTTCTCCATTTGGGAGCTTGCATTTTATTGTCCCAGAGCTGACAACTTCAGCCATTACAGGGCACCCATCTACAACACTTAATTTATCTTGCTTTTGCTCATCTTTTTTTTAAATCTTTGTGAGTACACATGTGTTGTGTGCAGCCACTGCCTATAAACCATATATCACTTTTTGTGACTCCTAGTGATAGTTATAAAAATAATTTATTTGGCTGCTGTTTAAGTTTAATTGGAACATTTTTGCTGCTGTTTTCCCATCCTCCTTTGGGAAAGGCTTCTCTCTGGTTAATGTTAAAACAATTCCTTTTAATATGGCCTTGCTTCCCACAGAGGTGACAAATTTTCTCGCCTTTTTTTTTTTTAATTCAAAGCCATTTGGCTAGTCTCTGCCATCCATGACATTCCTCCTCAAGTTGATAACGCTTTGGAAAGACAAATAATTCTTAGACTCAGTTTGCGATATTGTATTTTTATATGATTCTGGCAGGCTGATTAAATTTAACACAAGCATATTGTCATCTGCAATTTCTTTTCCTGCACTTCTCAATTGCTCAGCTAATTCCAACATCTTGTCAAGATGCTTCCAGAGGTTCACACCTTCCTACATTCTAATGCTAAACAAGGCTTTCTGAAGATAGAGTGGGTTCTTTAAGAAGGATTTTACATGCAGTCTTTTCAGCTCAGCCCAAACAGCCTTAGCAATTGGCATCTTAATGATTCTTAATACCTCTCTGTCTCTTAAACCAGTAATAATAGCACCTCTTGGCTGGTAATTTTTGGGGTCCCAGGTAGTCTGTTATCTGCCTTTGGCTGGACAGTCAGTCTGGGTAACAATCCACAAGCCTTTTTTCAGTGAGGTGGGTCTTTATTCTTTCTTTCCAAACTGGATAGTTGCTCTCCATGAACCTATCTATCAAGCAACCATGCTGTGTACCACAGGAGGTTGCCATCTTTGTTCCTTTGTTCTCGCCTGGTCATGCCAAGAGCCTCTGGTGATCCTTCTACCTTTGATCAGAGATGCACTTAATCTGGGCCACCATAACCCCTGTTGACAGAGTAATTAGCACAGTAATAGTGCACAACCTGATTGAAGAGTAGATAAAGGTTTATTTAGGAACTAACATGCTTGAAAGGGAAGAGGAGAGACAGAGATAGGTTCCTAACTATGTAGCTGAGAGAGAGAAAAGACTGAATGATAAACTTCCAAGCAGGAGGAGGAAATTGCCGTAGGAATAGCAAACTGGAGACAGACAAGGAATCACACTTAACAGGAGAGACAAAATGCTGTCCTCATTATCCTATCTAATTGTCTTCTTGCTGCCCCTTCAGGGTCTTCTCTTCTTCTTTGTACACCAGACATTGTCTTTTCCAACAACTATATCATTCCACATCCCAATTCAGTACACAGATAATATTTAAGCCTAGAGAGTGTTTGGGCCTGATCTCACCACAATTCCCTCTAAGCTGAGCTAGGAGATGCTGGTGCACAGCATTTCAGAGGCCAGCTCAGAGGATTTCTGTTCAGCTCACAACCAAAGCTTCCATAGGAAACAATGGACAATGTGGGCACCTCTTTCTGGGGTTCATATAACTGGACCCCCTGGTCCAATCATTTTGAAATGGGGAGGGGGTTTGAGGAGAGGCACCAGCAGCTATGCTGCACATTTGGTGCCTCTACCTCAAAACACACACACTCCTGAAACCCAGATACCCCTGGATCGATTCTCTATTATAGATTATGTAGCCCATTGTCTATAATGGTCTCCATAGGCTATAATTGAGTCAGGGGAGGAAAAAAATATTTGCACACTCATATTATGCTTTTTGGTATGATTTGTAAGCTGCCTTGAGTCACAGGGGAAAGTGGGATATAAATATCTGAATAAATAAAACAATTTCCTGTTTGTTAGGTTAGGCAGCATTCTGACAGTGATTGTTCCTCCTCTTTGTACTTTACCTGTAAACAATCCAAAGGATGCTGGTTCTCATATTTCACTAAAAAAACCTCAAAGTAGACTGCAAGACACCCCCCCCCCCCAGGCATGGTAAC